GTGAGGTGGGGGTGGTAATGGGGAGCTGATACCAAGGAGTTCAAAAAGGAAGAAAATGTTTGGAATTGACTATGGTGGCAATTGTACAACACTGCTTGACTATGATTGAACTATGGAATGGTATGATGTCTGCATTAGCTCCTAATAAAATGCTCCTAAGCAAAAAAAAAAAATAGAGATGATTGTCAACCATCCCACCCCTAAAAAGTCTTCGGGAACTTGTCATGAGTGTTGGTATCAATGGCAATGCAAAAGGATAGCTACAGGAGACTTCAAATGTGGACTCAAACTTGAGCTTGGCTCCTCTAGCAAGGAGGATAGCCCAGGTGATGTACTGACTCGATTCCTTAACCAAAGGTTCAACTCTGAAAAGTCGAGTCGCCATTTCTGGTAACGCAGTTCTCCTAAACCCTACCCTTTCTTGAAAGCTTTCTCCCCTGTCAGCTGAGATGGCTGCTTCAGAAGGAATTTCAAGTATCTTCTGAAGATACTCTGTAGGAGGCTCCTGAAGCTGCCTGGGACAGTCATCCTGTGTCTTCACAGTTTGTAATCACTGTGGCGTGCCTGCATTTTCAGGCACTCTTCTGAGGATATCAGTGGCTGCTTGGTGGCAGCTTTCACGGCACCTGCAGCTCTGGGAGCATGCCTGTGCCTCTGCTTTCTATGGGCTACATCTGGCTGTGCTCTACCCGCCTCCAAGAGCTGGCATGGCCTCCATCGCCCCCAACAGTTCTCCAGGTGATCACTTGTTACCAGCATCCTCCATAGTCTGGCTGATGGCCCACACCATCAGTACGACCGTCTGGATTCAGCTGTGGCTTTCTCAGCCTTCTCTCCACTCTCCCTCATCCTTGCCTACCACCTCCCCCACAACCCACCCTGCTCCTGCCCTCCAACCCAGGCTGAGGAGCTCCCTCAGCTGTGTCGCCCCATGTCCTAGTGGACCACTCTTCATTTAGTCCTTCTGTATTTCTAGGCCTCCCTGATACCTTTCTCCATAATAGCAGTGGTCATGATTATACTGTTAAGACTTAGGAAAACAGACCTACAGTCATGTGTATAAAAAGTCCAACTGTCTACTTACCTAAAGTGGGATCTCTACCTAGTGGAAGAAATGGTAAATCAATAGCTTTGTAGTCACCAGATGCTCTCATTCTTAAAAAAGATTTCCCACTGCCAAGATGAGAATATCCTGAGGACTCCTCTCACTAACCGGGGCAGTTTGCGTGATCGCGTACCTCATGGCAGTAAATAAAGTGATTTATTTTCTCATTGCTCTAGGGCACATGGGAAGAGTATTTATACAAAAGGACTTCATTTTATGTACTATCATAATGTGTACTTTTAATCCTCTTTGCAGTATTTTCAGAGAACTCAAGTCGGCAGAAATGATACATCAAATAATTTCTTAGAGCAAACAGCCATTGTTTAATTGATCTCTTCTGTATAGCTAAGATTCTGCATATAGAAAGCATGGCATACCATTGCCACATAGCTGAGAACACTTAACAAATTCTTTTCTCATGGTTTAGGAGACTAGAATGACAAATTCGGGCCCCAGCTCCAGGGGAAGGCTGTGCCTCTGACAGTTCTTGTGGGAGCTCTTTCTTCCTTGAGTGCTGATCCTCTGTTCCATGGCTCCCTAGAGTCTTCATGTGGCATGGCAGCTGTCTTCCCGCGTCTCTACTTGCCTACTTGGCTCTGTTTATATCTCAAAAGAAACGGACTCAAGACAAACTCTATAGTAAACCCACTCCCAAATGGGATACAACCAGAGGCATAGTGGATTAGGATTTACAACACACATAGCTTTAGGGGACACAATGTAACCCATAACACAGTGGTTGTCAACCTTCCTCATGCTGCGACCCTTGAATACAGTTCTTCATGGTGTGGTGACCCCCCAACCATAAAATTATTTTCGTTGCTACTTCATAACTGTAATTTTGCTACTGTTATGAATTGTAATGTAAACAACTGATAGGCAGGATGTATTTTCATTGTTACAAATTGAACATAATGAAAGCATAGTGATTCACCACAAAAATATGTAATTCTATATTGTGAAATATTTATTTCTAATTACAAATAAATGAAATTTTGTCTTGAAGCATGGTGTAGCCTGGGTAACAGTTATCGCGCTGGGTACTCATATTTGGGCGTATCTGCATGTGGGTGGACCCACCTGGAGACAGAGGGGAGTGGTGTCTCAGTTCCTAAGACCATCGGAAATATGTCTTTTCCAATGGTCTTAGGCGATCCCTGTGCAAGGGTCGTTTGATCCCCAAAGGCGTCATGACCCACAAGTTGAGAACCACTGCTGTAAGATCAGGGAAACCGAAAATGGTCTATGTATCTGCTCATGAACTTGGGGAGTTCAAAGCACAATAAAAAGACACCCTAAGGCATCTTTGTTAAATAAGGATCATGCTTTCAAACCATGGTTTAGTCTTTGAACAAGGGATCTTAGTCTGTGAACAAGCTAAAATTCAAAGAGACTCCATGCTGTTTGGGGATTTGGCAGGTTGGAAGGGCCTTGATATCAAGACACTTACCTGGCCAATAGTACATGTAGACCTTCCTCCTGGCCTTGGTCAGAGTGATCCACAGAGGTTCTGAACCATTCCACCAGAGAGGCATCAGACTGTCTCTGTTGACGCCAATGTCAAATGACTTGTTGGTGCTGGGGTCCCACATGTAGTTTCCAGTCATCTGGTGGACCTCACAGTGACGGCCTAGATGGAAGAGAGCACAATGCTGTCACGGCTGTGGATGGCCTCAGTTGTAGTGACAGCTGTTTTCATCTTCTCTTTGTTTATAAAAATAATTTGTGCTTCCTTAGGAAGCACAGGATAGCACAAAGATTTGCCCATACTTTCTTTTTATCATAGACATTTCTTCTTCCCTAGACTGTAACAGACAAGACCAAAAAAAAAATTCAGTGATCTGTGTGGGAAACAAAGATTTCTACCAAGTTGTCTCCCACAGATATGTGACAAACCTAGCTGCTTGCTACTCATGGCAAATGGTTACACACTAAGAGGTCAACAAAAGTAGGCCGGGGTTATTCTCCCCAAGGGTTATCAGCCATCCAGAGCAAGCAGACACCACTGTTTATCCTACACAAGTAGGGCACACTCCCTTCTGATAAGGATGGTAGTAAATTGTTTCCCTGAAGGAGAGCCAAGGGATGGGTCAAGTCCTCTCAAGGGTGACCAAGGTTAGGCTGCCATCATGAATCTAGGGTCTGACCATTTTGTCACAAATATCCCTCTAGTTCCACCCCTTCCTATCATGTGCACACCCCTATCTCATCCCCTTCCTGTCACACTTACGCCTATTGTACATCCCCTTCCTATGATGTGTATGCCTATTGTACGGCCCCTTCCTGTGATGTGTGGTTACCTGTAATCATGCCCCTCTAAGTAGATATAAGCCTTGGTTAGCAATTAACATCGCTCTCTCTGGCTCTGCTCTCCGTCTCTCTCCACATGGACCACCATGCGGGGCTGAGGAGAGCATGCTACCATGAAATGTGTCTGACTTCTTCATTTTACTATCTCTCTACCATCTTTCTAATGTTCTCCATGACTTAATTATAATCTTTATATAGCTTAACCGTATAATTGCACTTACTGAACCCACTATTAGTTGTGGGGGCTGACATCCCCCCACAAATGGTGCCCATCACGTGGCAGTAGGAAAAGAACTCTCTTGAGTTATACCCCATGTAACAATTGTATGGCCCCACTGGATGGTAAAGTGAATCGGGGATATTGTGTGAAGTGAGGATATGCTGTGGGGATTAGCAGCTAAACAGGAATAAGAATAGTAGTATTAATATTTTAAAGAGGACAATGGGGCAAGACGGAAGTAAACCTAAGACTTAGCTATTACTCTCACACATTTACTGAAAAAACAGAAGGTTGCAGTAATGAATAAAAAGGTGCAAGATTTTCTAAAAGTGGTGAAAAAGTATAATCCATTGTTCCCAGAGGAAGGAACTTTAGATTTAGGAACTTGGGAGGACGTAGGTACAAATGTAAAGAATGTATACAGTGATGGGGAGAATATCCCCATGGAGACATGGTCTCTGTGGACTCAAGTTAAGATGGTCTTAAAACCTTTGCAGGAAGAAGAGGATGAGGATTATCAATCTAGTGAGAAGTCTTGTGTCTATCCAAATTTAGAAAAGCAAGCTAAAGTCTCTTTGAATGAGCATGAATTAGGTGATGAAATTTTAGGAAAAACTGAAGAAGCAGGGATTTATTTGTTTTCTAAGGCCTCCAATTATAAATGAAACCTCATGGCTAAAGCCTATATGTCCTCTGGGGACTGCAGCCTCCGAAGGTTTACAGGTGATAAAGCACTAGAGGAAGTGAATTCCAAGATCCAAAGTGAGGCTATTAAACAATCCCAGGAAGCTCCCTTGATTTCAAAGGAAGAGAAAGCAAAGAAACAAAACAAGCACAGTAGTGAGAACCCTCTGAGATACCAAAACTTAAATCTGCTGAGAGGCAGGCAGAATGGGTAACAGGCCAATGAGAAGATTTTAGGCAGAGCTGATAAAGCTAAGCTTGAGTCAAGAGGGCACATCATAGTAAAAGCATCTGGTCCTCTGCTGGAATTTAGTGTAAGAAAGTCTAGAGCTTATAAAACAAGCAAACAAGTCAGTGCTGGAGGTAGAGAGATTAGCTCTATAGAAATGCAAACTAAGAGAGCTAACACAGAAGATGAAGTTTGGGAAGTCTAGTTTCAAGATAAACCGGTCAAGAAGACCAGCGCAGAAAATAGAAGCAAAGAGGTAAAGTTTAGGAAAGCACATTTACTTTCAAGGGTAGATTGCAGTACAAGGAGATTTGGAATTTAGGATGTCTTATCCTGTTAGAATTGTTAGCAGACAGCTTTATGGGAAACACCCACAAGGAATTCACAATGCCTTCCCCTTTGAGTTGCCAAACGATCTCAAGCAGGCTGTCAAGGACTATGGGCCAGACTCACATTATGTAATTAGCATGATAAGGTGTTTTCAGAGTCTGAGCACTGGACCCCTGCTGACTGGAGAGCCCTGGCGAAAGCATGTCTTTACCCTTCAGAATTTTTACAATATCGTATGTGGTGGGATTTTACAGTCCAATCACAACCTCAGAAGAATGCTGAGGATAGAATAGACATAGGAATTCATCAATTCTTAGGGGATGAGAATTATACCACAGTTGAGTCACAACAGGCAATAGCACAAATATGTGAGGTTTGCCTAAGGGCCTGGGAAAAGATAATTCCATCAGGAGAGAGAAGGCCGAGTTACATGGCTATAAGACAGCAGAATGATGAATCCTATGCTGATCTTGTCCTGTTTGGAAAATTCTATTTCCAAATGTGTTAAAAATATCCAGGCAGTAAGTGACCGACTGCATACCCTATCTTGTGATTTCTCTAATAAACATTGTAAAAATGCCTAGTGTCCCTACAGGGAAGAAGGGACATTGTTAGATTATCTCAGAATATGCAGGAATGTAGAGACAGAGGAATAAAAGGCAACCTCATGCAGTTGCCTTGGAAAATTACACCAGACCTAAAAGAAAAGTCTTTAGTTGCGAAAAGACAGTGAGGTAGCTAGTTTATTGTGCCAACATGGCCGATAAACACTTGTGAGGTTAATTGAAGGTTAGAGAGATAAATGACTCAGTGACCATCCCTTTTCTAGTTCTCAGGTCTCTTGCTTTGTGATGGTCACACCAGGGTGCAGCTGTCTTAGCCAGTTCCCTGCTTCAGCTTGCAAGGCTCACTTCCTGCAAGATATCCCCAAGGAAAAGCCACATGAACCTACCCGGATGCAGCTCTGGGTGCTGGATCAGCCGTGTGGAGACCCCTGCCAGCACTGAGATGCTTACACGTTCACTGATTCAGCTTTCCTCCTGCAGTCGGCATCATAGTGTGTGTTTGATGAGATGAAGGAGGACTTTGTGGATTGATGTCAGACATATGGGTTAATGTTGGTCTTAAGGACATGGGCAGTAGTGGGTTGGGATATTTTCTTGGTGGACACTTACCCTTTATATAAAACTCTCTCTTATACATGAGTTTCTATGGATTTGTTTCTCTAAAGTACCTAGACTAATAGACAAGACATCTTCAAAGAGAGTGTAGACAGCACAGGCCAATCAGCCTGGTCACAAAGAGCGAGCTATGCCCTGCACCAGAGAATGGGCCAGGGCCACCAAGTTTGGGCTTAAAAGAACCTGGACTTTGCCCCAGCTGTAGGAAAGGAACTCATTGGGCGAGTCAATGTCACTCAAGAATCAACAGTAAAACATCGCCATCAGCAATGGCTTCCTGGTGGGAAACTAGAGGAAGAAGCTTGATCCAAGTCCCGCACACAGCACAGAAGGCAAAGACTCTGCCTGACCCAACAAAAGAATCTTTGAATGGCAGCGATCACAGGTATTCCCCAATCTCACAGCAGGAGACCAGACCTAGCCAAACTCACAAAACCCCAGCCTCTGTTCTCGCTGCAGTAAGTTTGACTAACCAAGAAAAGGCTCAGAAACCCTCACAGCAGTTTGTTGATCCT